TTTCTAATTTCAATATAAAAATTCATATTATTTATTTTATCAATCAATTAAATATTATAATAATTAATAATCTTAATAATCTTAATAAACTCTAAATTTTTTTTTTAATTTAACAATTTAATAAATTAATTTATTCAAATTTTTTGAATTAAACAATATTTTAATTATAAAAAAAATATTAAACAATTTTTTAAAAAATTATTATTAACTTCTAATAATATTAATATAGTATAGGACAGTAAGTCTCAACATTTTAAAATAATTTTTTTTTAAAATATACTAATTATTTAATAATTCTTTATTTAAAAAACCATATTTTGATTAAATTATTTTTTCAAAATAATTATTTAATTAATAGTTATAATATTTTAAAATTAATCTATTTTTATATGTAATTTTAAATTTGGCCAGTAAATATTATTGGCTAAGTGTTATATCACGTTATACCTGATTTTTTAATTGGCTAATTATTTATTAATGTGATAAAAATTATGTAATATATTAATCAGTTTGATCAAACTCACTTCAATATATACTTTCTACGAAACATCAGTAAATTTGGTAAAAAGGACCATCGACATCTACAGGAAAATCATAAACTATGTTCATAACTAGTAAGTATATACTTTATTTTTTTAGAACATTGATATAACAATCTAAACTATATTATGTCATTTCTGAATACACAAATCATAATACTATATTATATGAAAATTGGTTAGAGATATTTCTTGATGGCTTAGTATTTATTAGGCTATTTAGTTAATTCGATATTTTACAACCATGCCTATACAAAATCTTTCATCAAGATGTTATAACTAGAGTTTTCTAATACAATCTGCAAAAGAAAATAAGAATGCAATTGATAATTAGTTAAATAAATTTTTTTTTGACTTTAGAACAATATGAATTTTGAATATAAGCTTACTTTTCATTTCCTTTTCAAATTATTAATCAAAAAAGGAAATTATTCATTCTGTGCTTAAAATGCCAAGAAAAAAAAAAAGTCTGCCAGCTGCAAAAAAATGCATCAATTGCTTGATAAACATTTCAAAATATATTAAATAATATTAAAAATAGTGAAAATGATGAGAGCGATATTAGTGATAACAAAGTATTTAAAGAAAAAGCAATAATGAATGAAGAGAAAGCTAAAATCATTATTATTAGTAATACGTTCGAAAAAATAATGAATCAAATGAAAAAACCACTAATGATAAATAAAAAATGTCTACTTATCTATATAGGTAACTCTGAAAGAACACATAGGTGAAAAAGAACTGAGAACAAACATGCTATCATGGGAATGATTTTTATTACAAACTTTTTTTCAAAAGTTAAGAGCAGTGAAAAGGATAATAATGAAAATGATCAAGATATAGATGATCAGGATATAGATTATGATAACAATAATAGTAAGAATAATTAGTAAAATATTGAAGATATAGTTAAGAGAATCGAAAAGTTTATAAAAGATAAAAAACTTGAAAAAATTGAGTTAATGTGATATCAATCAATTGTTTGGTACATGCGTCTCCTACAAAATAGAAAAAATGAGAAAGAATCAAGTGAAACTGTTGCAACTATTTGTAAAAAAGGTCAATACCATGCTCGATATGTAAGAAGATGAGTGACATTATGTTTAAAAGGTAATTGTGTGTAATTTATATATATATATATCTTAAAATATAAAAATTTATTTGTTATTATATTTAATAGATAAAATCATACCTCAGTGTTTTTGCAGAAAACATCTATCCAAATTACTTATTCATGATGAAACTGTGTCTATGCGTATAGCTTCTTACCTTAAATCAACAAAGTTTCAAGTGAATCCTTATCTAGTAAAGCAATATTTTGAAGAAAAGATAATTCCAGATCTTGGATTTACCACTTTACAAACAATAAGTATTCGGACAGCACGAAGATAAATAAATCACTTAGGTTTTATATATAAACAGTATCAGAAGGAAATTTATGTTGACGGTTATGAACACTCTGATGTAATTGTATATCAAAATGAATTTCTAAGACAAATAACTGAATTCGATTTATTAATGCCCAAATGGCAAGATAAAGAATGTAAAGTAAAAACATTACCTGAGCTATATTCAAATTAAAAACTTCATATTTTGATAACACATGATGATTCGACATTTCATGCATATAATGGAATACATGCCTTTTGGGGATCACAAGAAGAACAGCTTTTAAGAAAAAAAGAATTAGGTGCAGGTTTACATGTTAGTGATTTTCTGACAAAAGAAATTGGACAATTAAAAGATAATAAAGAAGAAGCATGAGTAATTATGGCATTGGGTATGAATCATAATGGGTATTGGAATAGTGAGAGATTATTAAACCAAGTGCACAAAGCTGTTATTATCTTTAAATGAACATATCCAGAAATTATTGGAATATGAGCATTTGATAATTTAATGATCCATATGGCAATGGCTCCAGATATATTAAATGCTAACAAAATGAATTTGAATCCTGGGGTCTCTAACTGAAAATGTATTCAACTATGTTTAATGGTCATGTTCAAAAGATGATTTTTTTTTTGACTATCCAAATGTAAGCTTACAAGGTCAAGCAAAAGGTAAAGAATTTTTACATTTAACAATTTTTTATTTAGAATTTACAAATTCCATATTTATTGATTATTTATTATTATATAATGTCAAGGAATGAAGATTGTTCTGCAAGAGTGTGGACTATAGCAGGAAGAATTAATGGCAAATTGTAAAAATGGGCATACTGGAATAGAATATTGTGCTTGTCAAATACTGACTAATCAACCAGACTTTCAGGCTTAACAAGAATTAATTCAAGAAGAATTAGAAAGAAAAGGACATAAAGTAATTTTTTATCCAAAATTTCATCCAGAACTCAACTATATAGAAATATATTGGGGTACCGCAAAAGTATATGCAAAAAAGCATTGTAATTATTCCTAGATAGGTTTGCTTAATATTGTTCCTAAAGCCTTAGATTCGATTCCAGTAGAACAAATTCATGCATATGCTAGATGAAGTTATTAATGGATGAATACATATTGACATGGACTAACAGGAATAGCAGCTGAGTATGCTGTTCGCAAACAAAAGAGTCATCGACAAATTAATGAAAATATATTACTATAAAAATTGTATGTGATTCTTATAACTTACAATAAATAGGGATGATTTTATAATTGTATTTTTTTTTTTATATTGTGAGAGGAAAAATAAAATGGTAGTAATGCGATTCGGGTCATGAGACCGACAATTGATCCAGGATTACGAGAAGAAAATAGAGTTTGAAACTGGCACTAGAAACGAAATAATAAAGATGTAATTAGTGTTAAATTAGATAATAGCGCTAGAAATAAGTATAAATTTCTTTACCTTTCGTTATGTTTTTAAATCTTACCTTGGTCAAATCGAATGCCTTGCAATAAATTAATTACCATCACAATTTGGTGGTGACTGTGAGATTTGATGCTTCATTACCTCTCCTGATATTTTCATGCAAACATCTTTTCAACACTTTTCTAACCCCTATTCTAAAAACAACCATTTGTTAAAACCTTTTTGTATTTTACCACCTGACTCCCTAACTTTTATCTTCTTTTATTTTTCTCCCTTAGCATAGCAAGAAAGACCAACCAACAAGATCTGGAACCCCGAATTAGTTATCTGTATGACATTGTTGATAAATTTAAAGAATGACAATGAATTTCCAAATGGGTGGCGATGTGACTACTAGATTCCTCTAACAGCTTGCTGCCTTGCAAGAACTAGCACAGACCCTTAATAATATTATTAGTACACAGCAAGTCTGTCACTACTCTGAACTAAGTAGTCATGTAACAATAGGTATGTAGAAGCTTGTGTCGCTTGCTAACCAGAGGCACTTGTTAATAAACTCCCTTCTCTTTTATTACCAGTCTAATTCTCTATCACAATCCTTTATGGGCTTCTAGGATTCCTACAGTGGCTAATATCCAATTAAGGTAAGTTTATTAATTATACTCGTGCAAATACAATGGGTACAAGTTTATACAATACAAATATTAACTTTTTTTCTTAGCTAGCTAATCCACCCATATTTATACCCGCTGTGACGTGTCTGCTAATATACCATCACGTTCTGCAAATCCTTGATTAGACTATTTAGACTTCTTGATGCAGGGCCTGATGGATTACGCCATGTCACATGATTATTGGCGATCCTAATAATCCATATATTTTTCCATGCTAACAATAATAAAGGAGACTTAAATAATGGGCTGAAGAAACAAGAAGTCTGCCAGGTTAAATTACATGGGTTTGAGGGGAAAGCTGGAGAAGACCCACGCGAATGGTTAAAGCACTATAAAAAGGCTGCCGAATTTAATGGTTGGCTAAGTAGTAAAAAGCTAAAAGGAGTAAGTCACTAATTGGAAGGGGATGATATAAGAACCATCGGTATCAGTTCGTCTATTGGAATGAATGTGACAACAAAAGAAGCTTCGTATCGATGTTCGTACAGCATTTCGAAATGCTGGAGTAACGTCGCCAATGGCAAAAAGAATTAGAAACCATGAAACAAGGCAAAAGCGAGAGGGTAAATAAGTATGCCCATAGGTTTATGAAGCTACTAAAGAAGCTCTACCTGGAGGATAAATATGTCAAAAAATAGCATATTGGTTATTGGTACTCGGGTTACAAGAAGATATCTTGTCGCAACCTATCGTGAGAAATTCCATCATGCTAGAAAAAGCACTCAGAGCAGCAATAAAAGTCGAAAAAGAAACAAATAAGGCAAAAGGGTTAAAAGCTTGTACTCAAGAGTTGAGAAAACAAGTACAAGTCATAATAGTAAAGTTGAGCAGACCTATCATCATCACTGAAGAAAGTGCGAATGAACTGGAGATGCTGACAGGAAGAGATTTGGGTTGTGGAGACTCAAGGAAAAGAAATTACAACACCAAAGATTGTTCAAGGAAGGACAAGTTTTCCCAAAGATCACCATGAATGGATAAAGTGCAATTTGAAGAGGATGGAGGAGAGACGAGACAAACAGCAAAGAACCTACCCTCATATATTGCGAAGGAAAAAGAGACGCTTCCTGACCTGTGAGATAGAAACAAGCACCCAGAAAAAACCACAGACAACAACTAAAGCAAGACCCTGGAGGAAGGACATATTAATGAAGAGACACTAGCAGAATTACTAGACAAAGCCCCAAAACCCGCCTGCAACGAAACCCTGATGACGATTAATGATGAAATACCAAGAAAAGAAGACGAAATACTAAAGGCAACTGACCACCCAAGAGATATAGTGGAGGAACGTTTCGAATCAGTGCCAAATCACGAGCAAAGCAAACAACCAGAAAACAAACTGCAACAACTTATCTTAGGAGAATACCTGACTATTACAAATAATCTTGACCCAGGAGGAGAACACAAACCTTTACGAAGAAATACGGAAGTCAAAAGGCATAGCAAAAGCAAAAACAAGCTAAATAATGATCAGTCGACATCTGGAGAAATCAGAAGTATGGAAATACCAATCAACAAAAAACGGCAGAGTAAGAATGATGAAGCCGAACCAACAAAAATCGCGCTCACAGTGATGCAAATAAAAAATCAAAAATGTTTCAAAGAGAAAGAAAGATGACCGGAAGACGAACTGCGACAACACGCCTTAGGAGAACAACTGACCATCACGGATCATCAAGACCAAGGAGAAGAACTCGATATGAATATTGAAAGAAAAAAACACAAGCACATGATAGGAGAACAATGGATAAGAAATGATGAAACCACAATAATGTACCTAATGGAGGATGCACCTATGATAACACCAATGTATACACCTGTGAAACAATTGTTCAATACTCTTACCCCATACCAGAGAGCAACCAGATAAAAAAAGGAAGCTAAATGGACTATGGTATGATGGAAGGTAAAACTTAAAGACCACCAATGCCACATCTCTTATCACATCAGGATATATAATCACCCCAGATGGAAGACACGAAAGAAGGATCAAAGAACTGAGATAATGTACCTGTGGAAGATCACGCCTATATCAATGTGTAAGCAGAAGTCCAAACAACCTCATCAACACGTCACGTGCTGCATCGAAATTTACCATGATCTAGTCTATTGAAGGACCCTGCAAAAAGTTAGGAGAAAAATAAACATTTATACTACATTGATGGCGCGAATTGCAATGACAGTCATACCACATCATTGCATAATGAAGTTAATCCGCTTACTGCGCTGTGGAGTAAGGCACAAGTGAAAAGAGAAAATGACCGACAACCGATGACTCGACAAATAATAATCGGCCACTACAAACGAAATATGATGATGGACATGCCTAATGGAAATCTTAATGCATGGAATATATAAGATAGGTGTGGAGGAGTTGTGAGAGGAAAAGTAAAATGATAGTAATGCAATTTGGGTCATGAGACTAACAATTGACCTGGGATCGCGAGAAGAAAATAAAGTTGAAAATAGATCTGAAACTGGCACTAGAAATGAAATAATAATGATGTAATTAGTGTTAAATTAGATAATAGTGCTATAAATAAGTAGAAATTCCCTTATTTTTCATTATGTTTTTAGAAAAAAAGTATAAAATGATAACATTATTTCTTTAAAACAGGAGGACGAATAGTGGTAACTAAAAGTAATTTAATAAAGATAATTTATTTATCTTGGTGAAATCGAATGCCTTGCAATAAATTAATCAATGTCACAATATCTTCATTATCTTGTATATTTTTGTGACATTTATACATGTAGTCATTGTGCAACTTAATATATTTCTAGTTTAACATGATATAATTTTAATAAGTTTATGTAATACATTATGTGCCATCTAATCTGGTAGTTTATATTATGATTGGATAAAATCTATAAACATATGATTATGCAGGTTTTTAAAATTTGACCACTTTTTATAGAAGGTGTTAAGACTTACTGTCCCATACCATACCATATAATTATTAAAATAATCAAAAAAATTTATAAGTTATCCAAATATATTTTTTTATTTTTTTTAAGCAATTTTTAGCAAATATAAATACAAAAATTATATCTTTTTCAATATAATTATAAATAAATAACATGGATTTTTCTTTTAAAAAAATTTAATTAATATTAAAAAAGATTTTCATAAAAATATACAATTTTTTTAATAAAAATTCTATTCAGACCATCACTATCTGACACAATAAGGTAATAGATATAGCCCCAAGAAACTTTATTAAGAAAGTTAACAAAATAGTAAATGTAAAGGCCTGGGCAAAAACCAGAAGAATTTAATAGCTCTTAGAACAACAGATTAATTAATAAAGAAACTATATCTGAAGACAATTTTGAAGCAATCTCAAACTTAATGGACTGAATATGTCTTTCAAAGAATGCAAGAAGAAAAGCTTCTGGATCAAATTGCTAAATAACTATGGTTCCGAAAATTGAAATCGAATAGAATCGAACTGAATCACATGAGGTTCGGAACACTATTAAAAATGATGATGGGGTATATCCCACCTATTAAATTTAATATAAACTTGAGAATCAAATACAGAATCGAAGAGAATCGTTAGAATCCTTATGCATAACATTAGACAAACTGGAAATAAGAAAACCTTGACTTTACAGTATACACAATAGTTACAAAGTCTTTAGCATGAAACTGGAGACAAAAAAACATCTATTCACATGCCCAGGACTTGAAGAACACATTAGCGAAGCATGGTCAAAAGTTATACAAAGGCTTATAAGAAACCTTAGAAAAGCTTGCAAAAACTTAACATATATATTAGAGACAACCAATTTAGACGCAGTCATAACATATCTAACACAAAAGGTATTTCAAGAAAAAAATGAGAGACTAAGCTTTGCAATTGGACTAATATCAAAGAACCATATCACAGAACTTTGCAAACAAATAAATACTAAGATCACTCAATCCAAAGTCTAGCAATTGTTGTGCAAAACTGCCACTAGCTTCTTTAAGCAATTTAGAAAATCGACATGGAGACATAGATGTAGTATCACAATAGCAGCTGATCAGACCAAGAAAGGCCTAGCATCTCTGCTACCAATAAAATATAATCCATATATGAATCTCAACTCTGAAGATCATATCTCCAGGCCCACAGAAATCAACAGTGCCATTAGTACTCAGTCTTCAAATAATCAAAACAACAAAATGAAGAGAAGGGGAGAGAAGACAAGGTACAAGATCGAGAGTTATATAAACAAATTAGACAAGGTTAGGAAACCAATACAGGAGTTCATAGAAAGTGGGAAAAAATAGTTAATGCTTAAATAAAAACTCAATCTGGATTTATGGCACATAATCTGTAGAGATGATTTGCAGGCTTTGACTCCATTAAACAAATGGGATCTTAATCCTAATTAATGGATGAGCAATATACAGTATAATCCCTATAAATTACATCTAAAGACTTTTTGTTACAGATAGGTGAGCTGGGTTGAGGAAATTTATACATACAATTTATATTTGTAATGTTCACTTTGATTTAATAAATAAATGATATTAACCTGGTTGAGAGAAAAAAAAAATACAATTTTTTAAAAAAAAATCTTTTCTATTTTTTTTTTTATACTTAAAAATTTCTTTTTTAAAAAATTTTTAAATTGTTTTTTTTTTCTTGATTTTTTTTCTTTTCACAATATTATTTTCTTTTATTATTATTATTTTCTTTTTCTTTTCTTTACTTATTATCTCTTTTATACAAATTTTTTTATTATATTCTCTTTTTTTTTCTCTTCTTCCTACCTGTCAAAATTAGATTTTTTTTTCTAAAGTTTTTCCTTTTTAAGCCTTTCTTTTTTTTAAACTGTTGCCTTCTATCTTATTAATTCTCTGGCCAGTTGACTCTAAGGATCCTAACGATTCTATTCGATTCTATATTCGATTCTCAAGTTTATATTAAATTTAATAGGTGGGGTATATCCCACCATTATTTTTAATAGTGTTCCGAATCTCATGCAATTCTGTTCGATTCTATTCGATTCCAATTTTTAGAACCATAGTTGACTCATTTCTTTCAAAACCATATTAAGAAGTAATATATTATAAGCTTTAGAAAATTTTTCATTTTTATAATTTTTTAAAAAAGAATAATCAGCATAGTTATTATTACTATATTTGGCATTGTTTACTTGTTAATAGTTAGACTAGATATATTTAAGATATTATTGTATAACTATTGTTATATGAGCTTCCAAGAAGTTGCATTTTATAATATCCAGTCAAATGGTAGCCAATATCAATATAAAATTTTACAAGTGCTATGCTAATATTTGAAATATCTTGTAGAATAATATATAATGATCAGAGATTTTAGTTACTTTTGTGCTTGTCTCTTAATAATGTAAGTTTATATATATGATTAGATAACAATGTCTTTAATAAATTTCAATGCAGACCTGTGGGTCCATAATGTAGTGGTTAACACTCCACAGGTTAGATCACAAGATACCAGTTCAACTCCAGGTAAAGGCAGTTGAACCGAATTAAGATGGTATCTGGGGTCATAACCTGTCAAGCCCTGTTTCCCATAGGAAGTCATTCGCACACTGATCCAGTGGAACGTTGGGATTGTGATCTCCAGAAAAGGTGTCGAAGTGTGACAATCGTCTGGATGGTGCTACGATGATCGCCAGAAGCATGCCAATGGTAGTTGAGCAACATGGTAAGTCAAGAGGCATGTGCTCATCTTCCTTAATCAAGACTCCCCTTGCGTTTGAGTGTACAGACTGGGCTGTACCCCATCCTAATCAAAACCCTGATCCGCTTTTTTCAATGGTGGTTAGAACCCTAGCCAGGATATCCCAATCTGGTGCAGAGCCTAATTGGTTTGAAAAATAACCAGCCGCAG